GGTAAGTGATGCCTGCTGTAGAGGCACTCATTTGGGCAATCCCCTTAAGTATTAAACTTACATTAAACCAATAGATATTCATAGCGTAGATTAGGACCAGCATAAATCCGAGCACTGGGAAGAATGGCGCCGTCTGAGGTCCAAGGTACACAGCTCCATATAGGGTACCGTACAGTAGTTTACATGGATACCAGTACAATCGACACAGAACCCTGAAGTACTTTGTTGGTCAAAGGAAACGAAAATTGAAGGAAGGCAAATGCCTTCTTCTGAACTCGCACATTTGCGATTGCATAGCCCATGAAGTAAATATGACGCAAACTTCAGTAATATTGCTTTCAGACAAATATATTTTCTAGCTATGATGGCTAAGGCTGCCTTGGTGTAGTGGCAAATGGCACACTATCACCTACGCATGATCCTGGGTTCGAATTCCAAATCGATATCAGCCTAAACCCACCGAGTCTTCCATTTTTCCGGGGATAAATTGGTACCAGACTCGTCCGAGAGGGTAAACTGTCTTGTACACGGGCTGGCCACCCTGATTCTTTGAATAGACCACATACACATTCAATAAGCCACTACGACTCTGACTGGGAGTGTCGGATCGGGGCGCATCCGTCAGATGGGATTGATCAACACCGAAAACTTCATGTTCTTATCCTTTATGAAAATAAGAATAAAAGATCAGTCCTTAGGGTTATCTAGTCAAATTTCAGATTTTACACGATACATCTCTTCCCTGTAATGCTTCACCTCCCTCTAAAGGCTGTACAAACAACTTCTCTCTCTCAAGAGAGTGATATAGATGGATAAGAGAACTAGGTAAAAAGTAAAATAAAGGCGACCAGTTTTTGGCCAACCCGTGAATGATTCGTCAAGTATTCCAATTGTGTTGAAGTGGCATGTATTTTCAACGGCATGTCAACATGTGGTGTCTATATAAGGGCTGAGCCTGATTCAAGTGCTATTCATGTCACTTTCTGCTCCAGCGATTTAACAAGCAGCAGCGTGTCCTGCTTCTGGTCCGCTTCTGCTCAGCTATTCTGCGAGATCCAACTGACTTCTCACAAATTACAGCTTTTTAGCATTTACGAAACATCCTGAACCTCCATAGTGACCCATATCCATTCTGCTTTTGTATGAACCAAATTGTACCATATGACAAGGTTTTTTGATATAGAAATGTGAACAAGTACATGAGGATAGGTACTTACCAGTTACCTGCAAATAATACGAAAATAGTGCTGCCAGCTATGTCGATGAACCTGTAGTAACTACCATTCCTTCGTCTACGTAGATACATTCCAATTTTGGCCATTTCCAGCATTGCATCCGAACTATCTTGCAGAAATAGTAGTAGAGCTCCACAAAGAGTAAAACTGAAATGGTAAGTGACGTTGTCGCGAAAAATTGACTTTGGATGGGATGCTAAATATTGCAGTATTCGTAAGAAGGAATCTCAAGTCAGGGCAAACACCTTTTTCCGCCACAACAAATTCTAAGCTACAACATGAATGCGTGGAAGAAAGCATATGCTTCGAATTCTTCAGTTCATAAAATCCATGTTCACTTATCTGTTCAAATTCACTCAACAAAGTTGAAGTCACAAACGAACTTGTCCACATAGCTGAGTAGTAACATCGACAGCGCTATAAAGTGATGGATAAACATCAGCCATGAGTCCTTCCTCCAAGGATCCAAATACAAAGTAGCATAGATGGAGTGGATGTAAAAGGAAGCTTGAGTGGCGTAGATGACTCGAATGGCAGGATGAATCGGAGGGGACTCTCCTTCAGACCAACCTGAAATATGATACATTTTAGAAGAGGGTCGAATGACGAAGGAACAGGAAGCACTATGACTGTTACTACTATACTGAGGCATTATGCAACACGAAAATTCATGGATTTGGATTGACCAAGATCTGCTGGCCTGTAATCTTGCATCGTCATGGAAGTCTTTTTCGGAATTTGACGGTGTTCTTCGTCATCTGCTAAACTGCAAAATCATTCTTAATCCCGTTATGGTGGATCTCCCAACGCTAGGTATCTTTCAAGTTTGTTCACTAGTTCATTCCCTCCAGTTCACTTTACGCTAAACATGACCGTTGGTAGCTCAGCATGTAAGCATTCCAGGAGCTGCATTCTCAACAGACATAGGAATAGATCAAATCTACACAGCTTCCTTATCGAATGAATGTTGTGCTGGTGCGATCACTGCGCCCTTTTCTCAAAATATTCGATAAACAGAAGACACATCCTAAAATAAGGCGGATCTGCCCAGATCCACTCACACCTGAGCAGAGGGCACATCATTTATACTCGAAATCATTTTTGCGTACAGACAAACATGTGCAGAGCTCAAAATTGAGTCCATCCTTCTTACCATTCCACAGAGACAGCGGATCACTGAACGAGTTGATGTTAGCAACGCAGGTGTGAACAGCAAGTGAGAACAGCCATGACAGTCCGTAGTAGGAGAGTTTCCAGACCGACTCGGGAACCTTTGAGGAGTATCGTGGAAATATGTGGTTCCGGGCAACCCATGACTGAAATATCTTTCTTCTCCATTATTACTTACTGTTGGGATTCATGTTCTTCCTCAGAATTGGGAAATTTTCGAAATCATTTCTCCTCAAACTAAAAAACACAACAGCCCTGTCGTCGTAGGGTTTGCGCAAGTGGAGGTGCAGAACTTCACAATACTAAGCACCTACTGAGTTGAACGCGAGGCCATTTATCAAAAAAATATCTGGCCTTAGTACGGGAAAAGGCGATACCTTACCTCAGTCGATTTTGTGACGAACGATCGCAGTAAGTGTATAGTAAGTGTCAGGCATACCAAGGTGGCGATCTCATAGCGAGACAGATGAACTCCTGGAACTGAGCGTTCCTTTCCAAAAAAGAAGTATTTGCGAGCGCGACCAACTGAACTTACGACTCATATCACCCAGAAACCACCATGCCGATGAATCGGGTTGAAGCCGTCGGTACCTTTCTATCCAGTGAGGAACAGATGTCGATATCAAGTGGAGCTGAGTGAAGTATGAACTTTATATCAAGTAGCCTTCTTTATAAGGATGTAAATGGGAAAAAACAAAGTTAGCCTTAAAAATATTCAATGAGAAGGAGAAAGTCATGGAAGCGGGGCTTTGGGACTATTTCATTTAATACGTCGACCTTGTCTGCCTTCGGTAAAGCATCTGACGCTTTGGAGTGAGCAATAGACTACTGTATCCATCTCCGAAATCGGTATGATTACATCTTCCCAACGGTGTCCGTTTAACTGATTTCAGGGTTTGAAGTTCGAATGGTCCTCAGCTAAGCCTTCTCAAGTTACATCGGCAAGTGATGATATTTAATTTCTGTTCATAACAACCGCGCCAAAAGTTCGAGCTAGGTGAGTAGTAACACCATCTTTCGAAGCCTTGAAGCTGAAACGCTGGGAAATGCATGGCGTGAGCCCAATGCTCTAGCTAGAGATAATGCTAACTCTATGATGTACAACTGTCAGAAAAGGTCGTTGTCTCACCCCAGGTCCCGCAGGCGTACTTCTGAAAAAAAATCTCGTGGCGGTCAAGTATTATTAGATGGTATCAAATTACTCACAACAACGAAACAAAAACACTTGGCAGGAAGTCAACAACTCACAAGTTTTATTGGATCGGCCGTGGAAACGTGGTAGATGCTAGGATCACTGATATTCAGTTCCGGTTTCATTCTTCCTACAATGAAGAAGAAGTATTCATTCAAAGTATTTCTACAAGAAGAAAAAGTTATCAGCACTTCATAAATACCATTACAGCAACACAAAATTACTATATACCAGGAAGACTAGTTATAATAAAATTAAACGGCTCCTGTCTACTGTTCACATGTGTTCTAGAACCCATGAGAATCAGAAGACAACTAAACCTTTGAAACTAAACATTTTAGGCAACTATTCTGACTACGTAAATTTGGGCAGTACAGCTAGAAAACCTAATCT